CCCAGGTTTCCCCACCTATTCTTCTTTCTTATTCAAACTTTGTGGGATCGCTGAGAGCGATGTTGAGAACGATATGCTGAGTCGATGTTGAGCGCTCTCAACATCGACTCAGCATATCGTTCTCAACATCGCTCTCAGCGATCCCACAACGTCCCCCCCTCGGGATCAATCCCCAAAATTTTCCAAAGGAGCAGTTAGGGTCCTCACCTCGTCTCAGAAATCTATATATACCCACTGATTTTTCCTTGCATGTATGAGATATCACAGAGACACAAGGAGAAGATCTAATGGAGGGAACAAGGGAGACCCGTAATGGAAGATTAAGGCGCAGCAGCAAGCTTAAGGTAACTGCCTCTATTTGCTCAACAGACCCTACCTATTTCTTTCTTTAACACACGTCTCTATAAAATATAATTTACTTATATATTGATATATGGCTAATTCCATCAATTTTGTTCAAAAGAGGACTCTGAAGAGGACGAAAGCCAAAGCTGCTGCTGCCAAGTTGGAGATAATCCGCGTGAGAGAGGAAACGGCGGGAATGGTTGCTGCAATGGGGGACCTCAAACTCGAGATCGACTTGTTGAAGCCAGCGCTCCGCCAGCATTCTGAAGACACGCTTCTTATCTCAGAAGCAGTAGGCAGTGTTGCTCAGATTATCCTTCAGCTTTAATTAGCTAAGGATACAAAAAGACCACCTATTTTGCTTTGATGTTCTGTTGTGTCAGGGATCTAATCCTCCATGATTAAATCCTAGGTTTAGTGTGTTTTGATTAATAAACAACTTGGTTGTGTCCCTTTACTTATGCACTTTATATTATGTTTGGTTTTAGGTGTTGTTCTACTTCAGCTTCTTCCTAGACTGGAGATGAGACCAGGGCCCCCTGTCTACCCCTGTCTAGGAGAGTTATGTTTTTTCCGTTTTGCTGGTCTTTTTGGTTAGACTGCAGATTTTGGGTTGTTTTCTCAGTTTATTATTGTAAAATCTGCATTTCTTAATGCGTTTCGACACCATGGTTGAATCCTTAAAGTGACGAATTTTTATTTTTAGATAAATAAATTTCTCTCTCACAATTAATCACCTAAATAAGAAGGATTTAAAAACTGGCCAAAAAAAATAGAAATCTCTTAAATTTATTTCGGATAAAAATAAAAACTCCAGGTAAAAGCAAGTCATGATTTTAATTAAGGTATATATTCATTATTCAATACTAATAAAATAAAAATTAGCAAAGGAAAAACTTTGGTCAAAAAAGGCTAAAGATGAGTTTCTCACCAGGATGAGATAGCACTCAAACGACTGTTCAATGGCTGAAGAAATGAACAATACAAATAAAATTTTGGAACCAATAAGGTGCTACCCAGTTGAATTAAACCAACATAAATATCTATGACAAGCCAAGTTCAAAATTATAACATTTTTGCCCAGAATTTCAAGGAAAGAGAAATGCACATCTTAATGAAGGCATTA